GGATGATCGTAACCGATGGTTAGAGACACTGAGCGATATGGCTGCGTGTCCTAAACAGTGGTGTTGTGTATCTTGTAAATTTCTCGGCAACATTAGTCCACTGAATTCATAAATCTTCTCCTTGATCTTACTTTCACCCTTTCCTGTCTTTCTCCTCATGTTCACGCAAATGAGCGGCCAAAAGACAGCAACCAAAACCAGCACACGAAAGTGCATGATTAATCGTAGTACAAACTGAACTGAAACAGCAGAGTAGTATGTAGTAGCTGAATATTCATCCCTAATGAGGGGACAAAACAGTTTCTTGATTTGACTTCCTACAACCTAGAGCCGCAACTGTGAATACGACGTGATGCGGTAGACGATTGCTGGGCAAGCGCAATACGTGCTCTAACCAACGAAGCCCACTAATCTGAATTCGATGTGGTAACGAATTCTCCGAACCATTACCAAATACTCGACGGTTTAATTTAGTGTTGCTTACAAGCGCGCATTATCTGACCCACGTCAAACTATGTACGTCGTGCATACTTACCGTCCCGTCCCAGATTTGAACTCCGGACCCATCGCTTGGGATGCCTATGTTACCACTGGGCCAACCGATTCACACCGGAGCGAACCAGAATCACCAATTCATGTTATTTTTAGAAAGTCAGTAACATCTTTTAACCCGATAGGAACAAAAGGGTACGGAGTACACTATCTCCAATCGGAAGCCTCACTAAGTCACATCTACTTTAGAAGTTTGGGAGGACAGTCTCAATTAAAACTGCTAAACTACACTTTTATTTTGCATTTACTTGTGAGTAGTCGAGCTAAAAATCTACTATGAATGATCGAAACTTACTTCCTGGCGATGGTCTTTCAACACGCGCACTGCACCTCTAACAATTCGATCATTTACCACTTCCGTATTTTGTGAAGACGTGGAATTGGTTACCACCGATGGAGTGCGCATCAAACTAGACGGTAAAGACCACGGTAAAACTGAGTCCAGATTAGCACCAACTAGACCGGACTCCGAGCGAACGGTATTGTGAGTCTCATTCGTTTGTGGCCGGGTAGAATCGGTCACCATAGGAGTGGAATCCGGTGGCGGAGAGAGCAGATCATCAGAACTTGTATCCATAAGTTCTGTGACTCGTTGATCCCCGACAGGCGGATGGTCTTCGTCATCTACCTCGGACTGCTCGTCCAATCCATCTGAATGTGTTGTTATGGAAGGAACAGTTGTCACGGTGGATGGAACTGACAGATTGCGCACCGGCTCCGAAGTGCCACCGCCAGTCGTGGCTGATGCGCGCGTATCTCTAAGAAGGATGTAACGATCGCGGCTACCAGAAGCCAATAGATCTGCATTCCATGCAAGAGCTCCCACACGGGCCAAGTGACCGGTAAGCGAACTGATACATGAGCTCTTGGTAATATCCCAGATCTGTACATGACCTCGGTACGTTCCGATCGCCAGATGGCTCCCCTAGATAGTGAAAAGGATTGACCGATGAAGTGCTAATGTTTTGCATAAACACAGCAAGAAAATATAAAATTACCAAATGGACGCGACCTAGTTCTTATTTGCATGCAAAACAAGATGTATTAGTGGACGCCAACATAATTGAATAGTTGAGGTTACATTCAATAAGACGCAACAGTTCCTACTCTGATATCACCGCCCCAACTATTTTTTTAATAAACACACTTGTCTGATTAACAGAATACGGAATGGACCTCATGGTCGCGATGACCTGCTGCTCAATGATGGGAACCTAAGCCTCGGGATTTGGAGTGACAAACCATGTAAGGTACGCTAGGTTAGATATGGTGTTGAAGCGAACGACAGCAGAGCTGAAAACCAGTAAAGTTCGGTGGCGGTGGTGGGGCTCGAACCTCGGACCATATAGTTCAAAGCATGCCGATGACAGCGATTAATTCACTGCGCTATCACTGTGACACAGCCTCTTTGTAAATCAGCGCAAT